TGTCCAGGTGCTGTTCTAGAAGCAGGTGGCAGGACAAGGAGGCAAGAGATCAGGGCTTCTTTGGGCAAACTCGCTGCTTATTGGGGAAGCAGACCTCTGAGCCTTCAGAATGTGAGAGTTGGGATGGGGGTGCACAGGGGTGAGGTTTTCCCAGAAGAGCTGGGAGGCTTAATAAAGATGCTCTTTGGTAATGAGGGAAGAAGGCTGAATGAGAATGTCAGATGAAAAGGTGCTAGGCTAGTAGGCCACTCAGCAATCACTTGTACAAACAATATTACTCCAAACAGCCATAGATATTTTAGTTCAATGAAAGACATTAGCCAACCCAATCGTGACCTTGAGCCAGTCCCACTTAAATTTCAGGGCCACTGTCTGATAAGGGAGTGAGGGAAGATAGCCTGTTGTCTGGCCTGAGCTCAATTTTGGGAAGAGGTTGACTTTGACACATTGTACAGTGGACCCAGGCCAGTCGGGGTCCAACAGGAGACAGAATTCACTGGGGAGGGTTTAAATGAAGAGAGATTAATAAGGGACTATGTACAGAGGACAAGCAGGGTTAAGGAAAGAAACAAGGTATACCCAGGAAGCACCCAGGAAGTAGTGACAATGAAAAGCCACGGGATACAGTGTGGCTGTGACCCAGCTTCAGTCCGGCAGATGAGCACAGTAGTCAGGGTGGCAGAGCAGTGAGGTGGAAGGAGACTGGGTCCTGCATGATCTCTTGGGGCAGGGTCACCTCATCTGTCTGGACTGCCTACCTCTGTATAGATGTGTGAGGGAGAAACAAGCAATTTTTGGTTAATTGTTTTGCCAATCTCTTTTGGAGTCTATTGTAACACCCTAGCCTGTACCTTATGCATTCAGTGGCCACTTTGGTTGCAATAAAGTGAATAAAGGGGAGAATGGTAGCAGACGAGGGCCTCTAGCCATGGCACCTTTAGCCACAGTAAAGAGCTTGGATTGTACTCTAGGAGGAAGGTTACACGACCTGAAATGCATGTTAAGAGCATTCTGACTGCTATGTGGGGACTGGTATATGGGGAGCAAGAGTAGAGTCTAGGAGACAAGAGAGGAGGCTGTTCGGGTTGTTCATGCAAGAGATGCTGGTGACTTGGTCAAAAATGGTTGAGCAGCAGAGTTTGTGAGAAGTAGGGCAGATCCTGGATGTGTTTTGAAGGAAATTATAAAGGATTCCTCATGAATTTAAATTTGAGGGAGTTGTTTGTTTAGGAATAAATGAAATAAAGTGCTTAACACAGACTTCTAGCACATCATCACTATTGTTTTCATAAAGTCTGACTATGACGATATAACTTCTCCCTGTTTGAATGCTGATAAATTGAATTAGGAAAGAAACTCATGTTTTATTAGCAACTCACTGCTTCATTGTCAGGGCACGTGGTGTCAGACTGTCCTGGGCAATCTCAGGGCAAGAAGTCAGGACCCAGAGAGGCCCTCATCACTGCAGTCCTCCTGGTAGGGAAATCACTGGCTCTACCATTCCTCAGACAGCACCTATTACAGTGTTCTAGAAATGGAAGAAACAGTAGAACAAGGCATTCTCTCACCCACCTCATGTGGTTGCTATTCGGTAAAAAGAAAGAGAGATGTGTATTTTTCTTCAGCTTTTCTAATCTTTTCCCAAAAGCTCTGCCCTACCCTGCTGGGAATTGAGGACACTTAATTTGCTAAAAATAAATAAATAAATAAATAAATAGATAGATAGATAGATAGATAGATAAATAAATAAATAAAACCCAATCTCTGGCCAGTTAAAAATGGTAACTCTCAGAATCCTCTTCTCTTGCCCAACATGGATTATGGATGTTCATCAGGATTTATTACAAGAGGCAATGTGGGGAGAGGACCCTGATGCCATGGTCCCTTCCGCCCGGCTGCTGCTCATGTGGGCCAAAGTGACCTCCTTCCAGGGCCTAAATGAGTGGAGAGCAAAACCCTGACTCCACATTTCAGTTTGTTCTTGGGACATTGTCTTAGAGAATGGAGGTCACTATCCATAGGCCTCAAGGCCAACTGCCCTTTCCTCTGTCCTCTTCTTCAAGCTGTCTGTTTAAGCCAACCCATGTTTGTTTGTTTTTTCCTTTCTTTCCAGAACATCCTCTGGGCCTCTTCCTACTAGGTTTGACCTCCCTTTCCTATTTCTCTGGAGCTATAATGATGAAATGACTTCCAGCTAGAGATGATGAATTTGCAAATAAAGTTTGAGAATAAGTTATGGCCTCTGCAATGTTTGGGACATGTTTATACTAAAATTCTATTGCTAATCTGAAATTCATATTTAATGGGTGTCCTATATTTTACCTGGTAGCCCTGCTTCTAGGAAACTTGATTATGGGAGGGAAGAATGAAAAACATGGCTATTTAGGATTTTCAATATATTATGCCTAATATAAGGCTTAGTGCCTGTTGGCCTCTTGGATGGAAGTATTTAGAGGGACTTCAGAAAGGAAGCTACCCCAATCTCCCCCTGGTATAGACTGTTTCCAGTTTCTTAGAAGAGCCCATCTTGTGGGGGAGGAGGGTGGAGGAACTTTCTTTGGCTTCCTGCCCTTCCTTCCCCATCTCACGAGGGAGGCCTTCCTGGGATATGGGTAACTCCATCCTGCTGGCAAAGCCATTGCTTACCTAGAACTTTTATGAGGACATTTTTATTGAACTGTAATGGAAAAGAAAAAACTCCAAGACATTCCAGATTTTCCTCATAAGCCTGCATCGGGTGTGTGTGTGTGTGTGTGTGTGTGTGTGTGTGTGTGTTTGTATGTGTGTGTGAAGGCTCATGGACTTGGGCCAGGCCACACCAGAGTTTTCGTTGAAGAAGAAATGAGGAGATTTGTGTGTGAAAGAGACATTTAACTTTTATAAATTAAGGACCAGAATAAAGATGAACTGGGAGTCTGGAGAGACTGTAAAACTCTTTTCATTAAGCAAATATTCTAGTGTTTGGAGAATTGGGTTTTACATAAGAGGGCTGCATTTGTCATTACAGCCTAATATCCTAATGTAAGTTTACAACCATATTTAAGAAACCTGTAATAGAATGCAGAGCCTGTTATGTATGTAAAACTGCTTGGCAAAAGTTTATAAATCACATACATCCATTTAAAAGAATTTGAAAGTGAATCCAGATGATGATCTTTTAGATTCAGGCTGATTGTGACAGCCCCATTACACCCCCACTGCTCTTCTGAGTAACTGCAGGAAAAGATGGAGTATCTCTTGGGGCCTGTGTGACCATTCCTTGCACCCCTCACCCAAGAAGGATGGAGATCCAGAACTTCCCAAGCCCCTGGTTGTCTCAGCAGGAAGGAAAGAAACAAAAGCTTTTGCCAAGCTCCTACTATGCAGTGAACCTTAGGGGTTTATCATAAGAACATATTTGAGCACAGGGTACCTGCTAGAGATCAGGGAGTACATCGTACCTTTTGTGGGATCTCAGGAGATGCAGGCTGCTCCACAGACCTGTGCAATTCTTCTATCGTCCCCCTTTTTTTTTTTAACACTGGAGGAACTTGAGGTTCATTGTTCACTATTCACTCAGGCACACACAACTAGCTGAAGGATGGGTCTGACTGAAAACCTGAGTCCCTGTGTGTCCCAAGCGCTGGCTCCTTCTGCTGCTCCATTCCTGCCCTAGCAGCTCCCCTCAGGGGTGGTAGAGGTGGCTCTTGTAAAGAGCTTGGCATATCGCTCCTTCTCAGGAGGAACAAAGCTGAGTTGAGAGCAAAATAGGTCAGGTCAGGCACATTTGTGTGGTGGCCATTTCTGAGACAGGCCTGAATTTGCTGGCCATTATCCTGCCAAAAGCAACCCATTCTTGTCTCACAAAGCCTCTGGTCTAATTGAAATTCATGAATAAATACATAAGGTTTTTTCAAATGACAAAAGATAGTCTCACAATCAAGTGACCTTGAGGTTCATCGTAAGAGCATACTTGAACATAGGGAATCCTCTGGAGACGGGAAGGAGGGTACATGGTACCTTTTGTGGGATCTCAGGAGGTGTGGGCTGCTCCTTAGTCCAGGACTCTGGCTTTACCTGAACTAAGCAATTTACTTCTGGGCTTCTGATACTCCTGTCACTACCAGCCGACTCCCTCTGCTTCTCCTCTTCATGATTTTTGCTGCCTATGACCTCTTTCTAGGTATTTCCCTACCTGTCCTGCTGCCTAACTCTGTCTGCCCCTCAAACTGTCCAGGAGAGAGGGCCTCATTGAGTTGCTCTTGTTCAGGAAACAGGACTCATCAAAGGCAGCCTCTTACATTGGTCAGATTGCCTCACAGGCGTCTGGCTACCAGGGAGTCAGGAGGTGTAACAGTTAAGATCAGGTTGGGCTGCACACATTAGAGACTTGAAAAATAGTGGCTTCAACAAGATAGATATGTCTTTTTCTCTCATGTAAAGGAAGTGTGGAAGCAGGGGCATCCAGAACTAGCAGGGAACCCAGCCAATACCATTCACCTTCAGGGCAGTACAATAGATCAGGTGGGAGGAGAGGGATCAGGGAGAGCTCCTCCCCTGTAGAGACTATACAGAGTCCCACACTATAATTCCACTTATCCCTCATTGGCCAGAAGCAGTCACTTAGCCACTTACCTATAAAAGAGGTTAGGAGAGGTTCTATTTAGCCAGATACATGGCCACCCAAATATCTATTGCTGCTCTTTACCAAAGTAAAAGGGATTGGGAGCAAGTGAAAGTCTGTGTCCAGGTGTTCAACCTAATGCAAATGTCAGTGGTTAGGATAGCAGGGTCCTATGGTAGACAGCCTGTGACACCAGACATCCCTCAGAAATGGGTGTGGCCTCATGGGGCCTGGCATAGCCTGTACAAAGTGCATCTGGGTGGTCAGGTCTAAAAGGAACTAGAAGCACCTCCTCACACCACCACCACGTTTCCTCTTGGTAGTCCTGCCTACAAGTTGATCATTAAAATGAAGAACCTTTTAAAGCATGCATGTGGTCCTGGGCAAATGTCCCAGTGCTTTATACCTGTGTATATTTTCTCATGTCTATCTAATCAGCAACCCTCCTCCCCTCTCACTACCAAAGCCAGGACAGTCTTAACAACAGCACAAAGACAGAGCTCTGGGAAGCTTGAAAGCTAGCCTGACGCCGCCCTAGTCATAGGTCCGAGGAACTCCATTGTTAGCCCAGCAGATACATGAGGCCAAGCCAGAATACACCCATATAGGGATGTAAAGGGGCAGGGTTTGGAGGGAGAGAGGGCACATAAGGGCTAATGGAACACTCTGAAGCCACAACAAAGATACAGGAAATTTCAGAAAGGAGAATTCTAGCAGCTTCCAAGGAGACATCAAATGATTCAGGCAGCATGGATGAGGAGGTTAATACAGAAACCTGAGGGAATAAATTGAGAAGAGCAGGATCATCTGAGGAAAGGGAGAATAACAGTAGCAGACTCCTGCTTTCCAGGGAGGGCACATCCCTAGGTAGGTAGGGATGGAATGGGATATTTCCCTTCGAATTTTCCTCAACCAGAGGTGTCTCTGGTGGCCAGAAAGTCTTGGGGGACTCAGATGTCTATTGGCCTAGATGGTAGGTAGCTAAGCTTCGGACAGAGCTTGGGATAGGTGAGGAGGGAGATGTTCCCTTTGAAAACCCTCCCGCCCAACCCACCTCAAAGGCTTTGCTACCAGTATTCACCTTGGACTCGAAACCATCTTCTTAAGTCAGTCTCGGGCAGCTATGAGCCAAAGCTCCACTGTCATTTACATTCCTCTGTAGGTGTGAAACCTCATCTTCATGCACGTGCCACAGGGGTGGATGGATGTGACTATTCTAGTCCTTTTTTGCAGGGGCTAAACTGGTGACTAAAAACTGGGAATTTGGGTCAGACCTGGCTCTGCTGCTGTGCTGCTTTTTTATGGATGTGTAACAAACTACCCCCAAATTTAGTGATTTTAAAATAAGAGCATTTTCTCACATCTCATCATTTTGTGGGTCTTTAATTCAGGCAGGCTTGAATGGACTGTTCTTCTGTTTCATGTGGTGCTGACGGAGGTCACTGTTGATGGTCACTTGGTGGTATGTCCCTGGCAGAGGTGCTGATCTGGAGGGTCCAAGAAGGAGCCATTCAAATATCTAGTGTCTTGGCAGGGACTGAAATCTGAACTCAGCTGGGACATGTGGCCTCCCTAGCAGGGTGGACTTGGGGTAGTCAGACTTCTTGCATGGTGACTTGGGGTGCCCAGTACTCCAAGATACCCAGGCAGAAATCACAAGGCATTTATGACCCAGCCACAGAAGCCTCAGAATGCTGCTTCTGCCACAAATTCTTTTGGCAAACAAGCCGCTAAGGCCAATACAGAATGAAGCTCAGGAAGTGTTGAAGAACACAGGCTTGCTATCTGAGTTTATGGAATGATTCTCCCACTCCTAGCTAAGTGACCTTGAGAAAGTTGACCTAAATTCTTTAAGCCTCAGTTTCCACATCTATAAGATAGGAATATTAATATTAGTATCTACCTTTTGTGGATTATGAGAATTAGATGATTCTCTGTATCTCATATCAACATTGACTGTGGAATAGCCCAGTTATGATCACTAGCATCTAGAGTTTCCTCTTCTTTCTAGGAACCCTGCTTGACTGCATAGCCCAGCCTCCCCTGAAGTGGGGTCTACCCATGTGACTGAGTTCTGGCCCATAGAGTAAGAGGGGAGATAATATATATTGGGCCTTGACATCTTCCCTGCTTGCTTCAGGAAAAAAGCTTTGTTTGTGAGAGCCTTAGCCAACCTTGACTTATGTAATGGCACATAATACACTCTCAGTTAAAGTCAGCTGCTGTCTGGCCTAACCCCTCTGACCCTTGTTCTCATCTGTAAACTGCACTGATAAGACCTGTGTCAGAGGGTTAAGAGCATTACATGTAATATTGTATAGTTTCATTAATGGCTTAGCTTCTTTTTGATCACAGTTATTTCATCTAAACACTATAACCTGAATCATTGTTACCTTTTTTCTTGAAAGCAAGATTAGACAGTGATTTCTGGCACTACTACTCTGAATCCTGTTGATAGGGCAGCAAGGACTGAGTTGCAGACAGAGGGGGAAATTGGAAATTTCCAGATTGGGCAAGTGAGCAGGGATTACTTAGTTCTGGAGAATTATAGGCCCCACCAAGCTAAGGAAGAACTGAGAACAGTTTTCCATGCCCAGAGTGGAAAGGGATTTTGCCTGGTCAGGCACAGCAGCGCCAAACCCTTTTATCATCCTCCAATTGGGATGTAGGTTTGCCCTTTGGAAAAGGCCTCTGGAGTATACCTAAGGCAGCCAACAGCCAGCTGGGAAAGGGACCAAGTGCTCAGGGAGTGGAGCAGAGAAGCTAACTTGGAAGTACCTGCCCTTTGAGGCCTGAGCCCAGAGATCCTGGATCCAGGAGGCGACATTCCAGCCTCATTTCATCTTCTCTGAGCCTTAGCAGTTTGTTCACCTGTAAAATAGGGATATTAATCCCTGTGTCTCAAAGTAGCATTTGTTTCTGCAGTTTCTGAGTTGCTGAAGACATGACTAGGGCCTAACACACAACCTATGCTCAGTTGGGCGCCCTGACTTAGAGCTACATCCACTTGGGGGAAGGGACACCTTTTCCTTGACTATGCTTCTTTCCCAGGAGCACTTCTTCCTGAAAGGCTAGTTTGCTCAGAGGGGCACTTTTGATTTGCACAAAGGAAAAGCACCTACCCTCTGGAAATAGATCAGACAGCAGAGAAGGGCAAAGACCCCTTAAGCCACCAAGAGAGGGCAGACTGCCCTGCAGAAGGGGAATCAAAAGTGGCCCATGGGGTCAAGATTTACTGGGAAGAGTGTATCAGGGTGACCAAATGGTGAGATGCTGTAAGCAGGGGGAGCTGAGAGGAGAGGAGATGCCTTCAAGGGCCAGCTGGGATCCCCTGCCTTCACCAACACTGTGGCTTCTGTAAACAGGATCTAGTGGCCATGGTACTAATCTGTGGCTACTGGTGCGTGGAATCAGAGCTGTATCTGAGGGCAGGTCATAGCCAGAGTGTGTGGCAGCCCAAGGAAAACCTGGTCAGAGATGGCCAGCTTGAGGAGAATGACAGAGCAGCAGGCAATCTTAAGTTGGAGTGATAGGCGATATCACAAAGAGTGAATGGACATTTTGGTAAGCAGAGAAGGAGCACTTCCATCGCGCTTTGGAGCCAGGAGGACTTCCTGGAAGTGACATCTGATCTGAGACCTCACTGAGACCCCAGCAAAAAGTGGGAAGAGTGGGGCATTCAGGTGGCATGACCTGCAGTGTGTGCAAAAAGCCAGAGATGAGGGTGTGGGGCAGTCTGGAACCTGCAGGTAGATATGCTGCTTAATTACCTGAGATGGAATTGCAAAAGAATGGTAAGAGATATGGCAGAGGATAATCAGAAGGTATCATGTCATAAAGCATCTTTATGTTTTGTCAAAGTGTTTGTACTTTAGGGGTTGTAAGCAGTGGAGTGATGTGACCAGAACTTCATTTTAGTAAGATATCTGCGTGCCACATGGAGAGTACAGGGGCAAGGTAGAGAGACTGGGCTGTTGCAAGAATCCAGGTGAGAGGTGAAGGTGGCTTCAATTGGAATAGTCACAAAGTTGCAACTAAGGGAGCAGATCAAGCAATATTTATAGGAGGTAGAATCCATAAGATAATGGAGAAAAGGCAGGAGTCTGGGGTGACACCTATCACTAACTTGGGTAATTATGACTGTGGCAACCCTTCCCTAAAATGGGAGATGGAGAAGAGGCATGGGCCTGGGGTGATGAAAAGTTCAGGTGATTTCGAAGATCAAATACAGTATTTAGATAGAGGAGACCAGGGGGGTACCGTGGTTTTTAGCTCAGGAGAGAATGGGGCTACTCTGGAGTCATCAGCTTAAAGGTGACTGGAGGCTGTGGATTGGAGCAAGGTGAGAAGGATCACCTCCTCAAGGAGGATCACCTTGAGGATCACACTGAGGAGAGAGGAGGCAGAGGCCAGAACCTGAGAAACTTTGACATTTGAGGGTCAGCTGGAGGAGGCAAAGGATAAAGAGGAGCAGCCAGAGAGATAGAAGGAACCAGCCCATTAAATCTTATACTACCTTGTACCATCTACAGGTGGGGAACCTGCAGACTTTTTATGGTGTTTATCTTATTAGGGCATAAGAACTAAGAAGCTCAGAACTGAATGTTTTGCTCCATCGTATAACTATCCTTCACCTAGATTTCTGGCACTGTTCACCTTTGTTGTCTAGGTGCCTGTATTTTTAGTCAGTCCTTTTGTAAGCAGAGTGTAAATGAAAAGATTAGATTCAGGAGATGCTATTTATGCATGCACAGTGAACCTTGGTAGTCAGGTGTGGACAGGAAGGACTTGGAGATGATGGTGGGGCATCGAATTTTGGTCTTTATACAGACTATCTAGCTCCTGGGTGACTGTTAAATGATGAGAAGATGAGGAAAAGATCAGCTAATTCTCTCCCAGTCCTCTCTCTCGCATCCAAGCAGAGATCACTAATGGGCCTGGCCTCCACCTTCATGAAGCCTTGACATGAACTCACCCTCCTTCCCTGTGCAGAATCCGAGATGGCAGGCCTTCTCAAATTTGTGGCCATTCTGGGAGTAAGCCTCTACCCCACAAACCACCAGAGGATCTCCGGTCTTTATTATGATCAACTTTTATTATAGAGACAGACTGAACTCTTTTGCATAAAGAATCTCTGGACTGGGTCAGGGAAATCCACCCGCTAAAGGTCACTACCCAGCTGTCCCTGCCTCTGCCTCAGCTATGTGCCCATGCGCTAGCTACATCTCAAGTTTACTGGAAACAGCAGACACTACTGTCCCCTGGGCCAGACAGGTTATGTCAGACCATGCTGGCTGGGATGCCCACCAGGTCACAGCCGCCCTGTCTCCTGCCCCAATCGGTTGTCCAGAACCTGGAGCTGCCGGAGGAAGCCCGCGTTGGGGCAGATATCGCGATGGGCCTGCACTGTCTGGATGGCCTCCACCAGTGTCATATTCTCGTAGATCATGAGGAAGGCCAGGACAACCGTGGCGGAGCGGCTCACCCCCATAGCGCAGTGTACCAGCACTCGGCCTGCAGGGAGACCCAACCCAGTATCAGCCACCTGCCCTCACGCTGCCCACCCCTTTGGCCATCCTCCAGCCCTATCACATCATCCTGGAATATTGACACTGTCTTCATTGTCAGATGGGGCAACTGAGGCCCAGAGAGGAAAAGGGACTGGCTCAAGATAAAACTGCAACTTAGTAGCAGAGCTAAGGTTAGCAACTGGGATTTCCTTTACTTGATAGAATGTGCTTCTTCTGGCATACTTTGCAATATTGATGGGGGTTGAGGTATAGTACATCTAGAGTCCTCTAGGTTTGTGGCAGAGGATATTGACTACCTTCCTCCCCACCTCCCCACAATTCCACCCTCTCTCCTGCCCCTGCAGCCCTGTGCCAAGCCTCCTTTCTAGAGGAGCCTGGCAAAAGTTAGGTCTTGTACCTTCTCTCCAATACTTGGCCTCTGACTGAGGGATATGGTTACACTTGCAGGCACACTGGACCTTAGCAATATCTGTTTTTGTTGTTTTTCAGGGTGTTCCTGAAGGGTATGCTCATTACATGGTAGTAACTATTTGCCCCATGGAGGGGGAGGGTTGTAGAAGGGATGTGTAGCTCTGGACACCCATCCGTGCTACTGAAAAAATGGGTAGGCCCAGATCCTGCCCCATCACCTCCACCCCCAGCCCTGGCTCACCATGGGGAACACTCAGGGCAGTTCGGATGTATCTAGCAACAGGCAGAAAGTAGACACTAAGATCAAAGAAGGGGTTGTCATCGGCCTCGATGCCATAGTACTCCAAAGCCATTCCACGATAGAACTTGGCACCTGTGTCCACCTGAAACTTGCCCGCAGCAACATTCACCACATGGGTGATGGCCAGCTGGGTCAGCTTATTCTTGTCTTGGGCTGCATACCTGGAGGGAGAGCACAGGGGCAATTGAGGGGTGGGGAAAGATCTCGCTGGGTCAGCTGTGGCTGAACTAGAACTGGCCCCTTCCCTCCTCTGCCATTCCCCTCTAAGGAGAGAGAATGGAATCTGTGGACTGGCCTGGGGGAATAGGGATCCTCTAGTAGAACGTCAGGATCCCTTTTCACTCAGGCTCACATTTCTGGAGGGCAACTTAGCCACATGCATAAAAAGCCTTAAATATGGGGACTCCCTGTTGGCGCAAGGGGTTAAGATGCAGCCTATGAAACTATCCGCAGCCACTGCAACATGAGTTCGATCCCTGGCCAGCGAGCTACCCACATGGCTCAGCAGACCTCTCCTGACTTGCCCGCTGCTCCCCTCAGCAGTGTACTTCAGTCAGTCTGCCTGTTCTGTTTTCCACTCTGTCTCTGGTGAATCCTCTCACCCTCCCATGCCTCTGATCTGTACCCCCATTCTTGTATAAAAATAAATAAATCTTTTTAAAAAAAAACCTTCCATTAAAAAAAAATGTTTTAAAATTATGTAGTGTGAATATTTTAAAAGCTCTCTAAAATAAATTGTGAAGGGGGATTATGAAGAGAACATTTTTGTAAAAAAAAGTATTATGAAAAAGCATATTTCTGTATAGTTCAACATACATTTTTTAAGAGGTCTCACTGGTTGTGTGTAGTGAGGCATTTTTCCTACTGTTAATAACATACTGACTCATATTTTCTAAATTGTAAGGAAATGTTCTAAACTTTATATATATTAATCCATATTTTCTAATTTTTAAGAAAACTTACAGACAAAATGATTTGCAGTCCTAATCTCTCTGTATATAGAGAGTGACAGAACACATATACTATAAAGTTCCTATGATCACTATCCATAATAGGCAAAAAGTGTGAAAACTCAAATTTCTATAATACAACGGAATAGGTGGACTATGATATACTCCTACCATAGAAAAGTATAGAGCAATGAAAAATAAATAAATGGCATCTGCACATGATAACATGGGTGAATCTTACAATTTTGAGCAAACGATACCAGGCACAAAATATGAGTCCATTCATAAAGAACTTTAAAAGACAGGCAGGGCCTCCCTGGTGGCGCAGGGGTTAAAGACAGAGCTGTGAAGCTCTCACCAACCGCTGCAGCATGGGTTCCATCCCCAGCTGTCCAGGGAGCAACCCACATGGCACAGCAGACCTCTCCTGACTCACCTTCTGCTCCCCTCAGCAGTGTATTTCAGTCAGTCTGCCTATTCTGCTCCCCACTCTGTCTCTGGTGAATCCTCTCATCCCCTCCCCCTGCACCTCTGGCCTGTACCCCAGTTCTTGTATGCATAAATCCATCAATCAATCTTTAAAAAAATAAAATAAAAAATAAAAGACAGGCAAAATTACATTGTTAGGTACATAGGTAGTGAAATTGTAAAGAAAAGCAAGGAAATAATTATTTCAACTCTAAGTAGTTATCTACCAGAAAAAAAAGGATGATATGAGAAGGGTACACGGGGAGTTTTGGGGGCACAAGTAATGTCCTATTTCTTGACCTGGGCGATGCAACTATTCATAAATGCTCCTTGTACTTTTCTCGTGTGTGTTCTATCTCTGCAATTAAGAGAAAGATAGGGGCCTCCTTAGTGGCTAGGGGTTAAGTCTTAGCACTATCAGCTCTATGGCCTGTGTTCAATCCTTGCCCAGGGGGCAACCCACATGGCACAGCAGACCTCTCCTGCCCTACCCGCTGCTCCCCTCAGCAGTCTATTTCAGTAGATTTGCCTGTTGTTTCAGTAGATTTGCTCCCCACTCTGTCTCTGGTGAATCCTCTCACCCCCCTTCAGCTCTGGCCTACACCTCAGTTCTTCTATATAAAAATAAATAAATAAAAAATTTTTAAATGAAAAATGTGGAAAGATAAAAGGTAGGGGGCAAAGAGAATGCCATCTCTGCCCTAGAAGGCTCTGGAGCCTCCCCCTTTTACTCCTTCCACTCCCCTCCCGCCATCCCAGAGATTTTTCTTACGCATCTCCCAGGAAGAGGTTGGGCCAGACTTCATTGATATGGCTCAGTGTAGCAGCCCGGCGAACCCATAGTAAGCGCTGCAGCGAGGCCAGTGTGGGTGGCTGGTAGGGGGACGTCCGGACCACCCCGTGGATCTTGGGCCTCCGAAGGTCCTGCTTCTGCAGTGAGTCCATCCTAGAACAGAGTGAACACCAAGGTGGCTGGGGCAAGCTCCCCACAGGTGGTCCAGCTGGCAGGCAGGCCCAGGCATGGAACAGTGCCCAGCTGCCATTGGGATGCTTGGGAAGGGCCTCAGCTATTTCAGATGAAGTTAGTAACCAGCTCAACTGGGACTGAGGCCTAGACCTTTACCCCAGGGAACAAGGGACTCAACTCCTTGTCACTGTGATAGAGCTGGGACACCTTCTTTCCTGCCCTCTTGTTGGAAGCTTTGGCCAAGGGGCCCTTAGAGTTCCCTGTTGTGGGAACTAGTCAGTGCAAAACCCACCCCTTAAGTCATTGGGACTTTGTAGGGATGGAGATCTCCGATGGCTGTGTCCCTCCAAGGGCACTTTGGAAGGCCCCACAACCTGGGCAGTTCATCTTGAGCTCTCTCCTCTGCTGTTACTTCTTCAGGGGCCCCCAGCTCCTCCCAATTTCTGGTGTTTGGAGGGCATTCCCTTTCTGCGGTAAGGGGATGGGATGTTCACTGACATGTGCTAGCATTCCCATACCACTTAAAGCTAATGTGTCTCTTGGACTGGTGCCTCACTCAGGCGGGGTCTCTGTTTTACACAGGAGGAAGTTCAGAGAAATTTTTAAAGTAACTTTCAAAACCAAATGGCTGATAAGTAGCAAGTCTGGGGTTTTAATCCAGCCTGTGCACCTTCACTTCTGTCCCCTTTCCAGTTATAGCCTTAGAGTTATCATTAGAGACACCAGAGAGAGGTCACTAAACCTTCCATGAGGGAGTTTGGGGGTGGTATTGCTGTGAGCCCTAGCCCCTGGGAATTTCTTCCTTACCCCCATTTCTCAGGCCAGTGCTTCAGGTCAGGCTTCACCCTGGTGAGCTGTGTTGTGTCAGGAGTCAGCTGGGTGAGGGATTCCGAGACCCTGCAGAGCTGTGATGGCAGTGGCACCAGAACCTGGGGCTGGTGCTGTGTTGGGAAGGAGTACTTCTCTTGGCTAACTGTCCCTGGCCCCCTCAACCAGTAACTAGGGAAGGTACAAACTGGGAAGATTGTCTTATTTCTTTGATGGGTAGCGCCAGCACCAGAAAGAGGCATAGGCACCCAGGAGGCCACGGGCTTGGCCAAGCCCACCCAGTGGGCAGTTGGTGGGCAGGGTGGGAGTGAAGACCCAGTTTTCCCCTTCATTCCCCACCTTGACCTCTCAGGGCAGGCTATGGCCTGCCACCTACCTAGGGCATTGTCTGGGACTGGGAGTAGGGGAGTGGGTGTAGGGACGGGACTCAGCATATGAGTGGAATAAGGTTGAGGTGGGTTCCACTTAGAATGCAAATGTTGTGAAGCGGCCAGAATTCCATTTCCTCCCCTTGGGGTCCATGGGGGTGGGGCTGAGAGTGCACCTAGGCCACTGTGGACTGGAGCACAGTCCTTTCAACCCCCAGGTCCACTCTGTCATCATTTTGGAATAAAGATTCTTGGGCCTGGGACTCCCCATGAAGACGGAAGGCCACCTGCAGTGTGGGAAGGGAATTTTAGAGGGAGGGAGGAGAGCCAGACAAGGTCTTACTCTGTGACCTGGACCTAGTCTTAGCTCTGTCTACCCCAATTTCTTTTTCATGTTTAAGATCCTGGCTTTGCCAGACTTTCAGCATTCTCTGTGAGTCTGAGCCGAGAATGACTGGAGTGACTGGGTATGCTGTAACTGCAGGGTGGGAAACTGTGGTGTGTCAGGGTGGGGGAAGCCCCCGGGCACCAGGGTTATCCAACAGCCCCACTTGTCTGGAACCACCAGCTGGGTCAGCCTGAGCCGCAGGCAGGACCAGATGGGACTTTGGGAAGCTTGGCATGGGGTAAGGCCGCCGCCCAGTGGCTGATAGGTGCCTCGCAGCCCAGCTGTACCTATAAGCCAACAACCAAGCTCAAGTTGAGACAAAAACTGGGCCCTCCTCCTCACCCCTCAGCTTCTTAGGAGCATAGCCATAATGCCAGATCTGGAGAATGGGATCTTTTCCTTGAACTTAGGGGTTCTGTTTGTCAGATCCCATGTAGAGTCCCACTTCTAATGATGAGTACCCTCAACTGTCTGCTTTATCCCACTCACTGCCCAGTGAGTGACTCATCCAAGACATACCCAAGGACTGGAGTCAGTGACTGTAGTAGCTCCCCAGATTTTTAGCCTCCACCAAGAGATGACTACCAAGAACCCTGCCGACATCTCCTTGCCACATCTCCTAGCCACTGGCAGGTGACGCATGGGTGCAACATCCAGTAAGGACAGATTGAGGCCTGGCCCTTTTCCCTACTCACTCTATCTCGCCCTTATTTTGCTCCTTCCTGCATCTCCCTTATAAGCCGAACAGCTGCCTCTGTGGACAGTGGTTTTCATGTTCCTGTGTTGTTGTAAACTTGTGTTTACAAGTTCTACCTTGTAAACTTGTAAACTTGTGTTTACCTGTTTTCTACCTTAGTATCTCTTTTCCTCTCTGTGATGCTCACCCCTGTTACCTCTGTCTCCCACCCTCCCACAGGTGCTCCTGCTCCCACACACCCTCCCAGCATAGCACCCTGCAAACTGGCAGGCTCAGGCCAAGGCACAGACCCCTCCATGGCAGGGGTCAGTTGTGTGCCATCCACCTCCTCAGCTGCAGCTCCAGGAGATAATCCCCCTGGCCTTCTCTCCTATCCACTCTCTCTGCCTCTTCCCCTCAGGGAGACCAAATGGGATTATGGCCATAGGACATATGGGGCTGGAGACCTCAAGACAAGGTAAATGAGGTGCCCGAGGAGGGAATTCTCAGAGAGGGTGCCAGGCATGCTGCCAGTGAGGAGCTGCCAGAGCACTCAGCATGCAGACCTTGGAGGAGGTCTGGTACTTGTATCTGTGTGTTTTGCTGGGCCGGTTTCATAAGTGGGCTGCTGTGAGAATGCCATGAAATAATAAGGTACCTCCCACAAGTCTGTCTCATCATAGATGCCCAAGAAATGGTGCATCCTATTATTGTTATCACTATTATTATTATGCTTACCCTTCCAAGCCATGGTCTGGGTAGAGAGTAACTTCCCCAAAGGACATTGAGGCTTAGTTTCTATCTGTTTCCTGATGTTTCTTTCTCTGTCCAGAAATTATTATATTCACCAGTTGCTAAGGATGTACTATGTAAAAGAGAGGGCTAAGTAATTACATTTTCTTACTAATCTGCCACACTACCCTTGTCTGATAATATAATCATCCACATTTTACAGACAAGAAAGTGATTAAGAGATTAAGCAATGTCCACAAGGTCACACAGCCCATCAGCATGGGTGCTAGGATTAAAGCCCAGATCTTCCTGACTTGACTTTGATTTGTGCCTTTTTGTCTGACCCAAACTTTTCCCAATTCAATCCGCAACAATACACATAGGCACAGGTGTGTGTTACCCAGCATGTTCTATGGCCTTCCTGAAATAGAGGTGCTTACCCACCTTGGGGGTATCTGGTCCAGACTGTGGTCTTTTCTCTCCGGTACTTTGTGCTGTCTGCTTCCAGCCGCCTGACTCTGTACAATTGACGCTGTTTCTATTTTTTGATTTGAGTTTAATTATAAAGCATGATGTGCTGCTCCCTTTTCCTGGCCTCCCCCAGCCACTCCCAGCTCACCCACTGGTTCCATGGCATGGTCAGAGCCAGCTGCAGCTGGCCTCATGGCCCTGCTGGGAGTAAAAGCAGCTTAACAGGGGTCTAGTTGTGTTATGTCTATATGCACATTTTGATTCTGGGGCAAGGAGGAAGACAGATTAAGCCATTTAAAAGTTTCCTTGGACTTCTAGGGTTATGTGGAGCATGGCAGAAAGTCAGAGTCTGAAGGATCCTTTTTTTTTGAGATTTATTTTTATTTATGCATACAAGAACTGGGGGGTAAGCCAGAGGTGCTGGGGGTGAGAGAGGATTCACCAGAGACAGAGTGGGGAACAGAACAGGTGGATCTACTGAAATACACTGCTGAGGGGAGCAATGGGAAAGACAGATCAAGTCAGCTGTGCGTGTGGGTCTCCTCGCTGGCTGGGGATCAAATGCAAGGTGCAGTGACTGGTGATAGCTTGATAGTGCTGCACCACCAGAGATGTCCTAGAGCTAGAAAGATCTTCATAGAGAATCCCACACTAGCCCAGTGGGCTTCACCTAGGCAAATGCACCCACATGTGACCCAGAGGGATTCCTATGAGAAACCATTACTAGCTCAGTATGCTTCACTTAGGTAAGTGCACACTCAAAACAGCCCATTGGGTCTCCCATGAGGAGCCCACACTAGTACAATGGTGTTCACCTAAGCAAATACACATTGACCCAGCTGAGAGGGGTTCCCATGAGAAAACCACACAGTCCAGGAACTGGGTGTTCGCTTAGGCAAGTATACCCTCATCCAGACATGTAGGATTCCAATGAGGAACCCACACTAGCCCAGTAGGGTTCACCTAGGCAATTGCTCTCTCACAAGCCCAGTGGGTTTTAAATGAGATCCCACAAGAGCCCAGCAATGGGTTCATGTCATAAATATCCCCCAGGCCCAAGTAGGGTTCCCCTAGGCAGGAAACATAGTGGCCCCACAGGGGTTCATCAGGGAATATAAACCCCTGCTGGTCCAAGTGGGGTTCCCCTAGATGAGGGAAAATGAACTGATCCGGGGAGTTCATCTTATGGACCCACACTGGTCCAAGTGGGATACTCCTAGACTAGGGAACCCACACTGCCCCAGTGGGGAAGGGGTTCATATTATGAATTCTGCTGGGAGAAGTGGGGCTCCCCTAGGCAAGAGAATCTACACAGGCCCAAGGGAGCTTCCACTACTTAGGAAACACACTCTGCCAGTAGAGAGTTCAGCAGGGCATAGGAATCCCTCACTGGCACAAGAGGATTCTCCTAGGCAAGGAAACCCACGCTGGAACAATGGGGTGTTCATCAAAGCATACGAACACATGTATCAAGTGGGGCTCCCCTAGGCAAGGCAGGCCCTGTGGGGGTTCATAAAGGCATAGGAAACTAACCGGAGTTGCACGGGGGCTCCCACAGGCAGATGATCCACCCAGAACTGTTAGCTTAGTAAGATGTTTTTTTTAATAGTCTGGCTAGCTCTTCCACTTTCCCCTGAGGACTGGGGTCACCAGGCTGTATGTCCTTAGTAACTAATTTATAAAACAGCACTAACACCTTGAGTGATTTGAGAAGGGAATTGTAAAGACAGGGCCAGGCTAAAACGAGGGATGATGGCCTCCCTCATCCCCTCAGTCCCTGGCAGCACAGGGGTTGGAGTCGCTATCACGCTATTGCCAGCCACTGTGACTTGAGTTAGATACCTGCCCAGGGAGCTGGCCCATGTGGTGCAGCAGACCTCTCCTGTCTCTCCCGCTGCTCCCCTCAGCAGTGTATTTCAGTCGATCTGCCTGTTCTGCTCCCCACTCTGTCTCTGGTGAATCCTCTCACCACCCTGGTAGTCACCTTGGAGGACTCTTTAGATTTGGTAGAAGCCTCCGTCCACCCCATAAAGATGTCTACTGGGACTAACAGGAACTTACGCCCTTTACGTGGAGGTGTGAAGGAAGTCAAGCTGCCAGTGTTCCCCGGGTAAGCTCCCAGAACTAACAGAGCGAGATGAGGAGTGGGCTCCAGGTGTCCCTCAGTGTGTTGGGTACTTGGGTGTGTGTACACACCCTCAGTACTGTTGGGTGTTTGGGTCCCTTACTGTGTATAATTGCCACTCTCACGGGCAGGCGTATAGCCTTGCAGAATATCCTTGCAGAATAGAGTAATTGCAGAATATCCTTGGAATTTTTAATAGGGTTATTTTGGGCTGTTAGTAAGGCTGTCTTCTTCCATGGACAACAGGGAAGGCATAAGAAGAGTCAGTGTACACATTAAGATGACAAAGCCCCTTTCCAAGCTTTAGGGCTCAGGTAAGTGCAGTGAGTTCAGCCTTTTGAGCAGAGGTTCTGCCTCCTGCCTCCTGGCAAGAGTTTAGCTTTGATAACATCAGTTAGGCTTGCTATGGTATAACCTGATTTTCAGACACCATCCTGAATAAAGCTGCTGCCATCTGTGAATCAGGCAGCATTAGAATCAATAAGTGGTATGTCCTGGAGGGCCAGCCTTGCAGCACAGGTGTCACCTAGGACTTCCAGGCAAGTGTATTCTATTGCTGTGGGACTGGGGTCAGGGAGCAAAGTGACAGGATTAAGGGTGTGGCAAGGTTTGATAAGTAAGTTTCAAGAAGGAGGGTTTGAAACTTCATGATTCTATTACCTGACAGCCAGTAGATCACCTTGGTTTCCAGAA